CCAAAGTTCAGTCCCAGGATTTCAGATTTCCAGCCTTTGGGGTTCTAGAAGGCTCGGTTTTCTTCTGCCTCACCTTTTGGAGAGGAAGCCGTGGTGGGGTCATAAACCCTGCTATGGTTGGTTTCCTAGTTCTCCTAGCTTTCTGTTTTGTGTGCTGATATCCTTCCACTACAGCTAGGATCAAGAGGCGTTCCCAATTCATGGGATTGACAACAGTTTCCAGCAGGATACTATTCTGTGAGGGATTACCTTTTCTGTTTCGAGCATCCAGATTCATTTCCAGTCAGCTGCTTCATTGTTTCCATATGAATTTCTATGAGATTTGAGTGAGAAACGATACCAAGAAGCCATAAAATAATCTAAACCAGGAAATCTGTCAATTCCAAGAGAAATTTATTCAAATCTGAGGACATAATGAAATGTTGAGGGAATATCGTGTAAGAGTTCCACTTCTTGACACAACAATCAACAAAACATGAGAGTTAAAAGGTTTGTCGGCTGATCCAAGATGCCTGCACGAAGAACTAGTGCTCGTCCCAATCAAGAACTTGTTATGAAAGTTTTATGACGGGAGATTCAATGTCTTCAAGAAAGGATAGCTGTTATTGAATAATGAAAATTGGAAGAAGATGAGGTGTATCAAGAAAACAAAATTCTTGAGGAAGAAGATGAAAACCCATTTCATAAAAAATCCTTAAGTTTCGATGGGTTTGATAGTCCGTTGTTGGAATCATCTGGGATACTTGTATTTGATCAGCCCGTGCATGATGAGGCGAAATGCGTTGGAGTTCCTAGAGTGAAAAGTTTATGCGACGACGTTCGACAACACGATATGGTGTAGTTCATTGCGAATAACATTCGAATTAGAAGGGTTCTTTCTATCACTGGTGAAGTATATGCTTCTTTAACCTCTAAAGCAATCCGGATTATCATTGGATGATCAATTTGATAATGATGGCTTCTATTCTTTTAAAAATAGAGTTCCTATTGGTTTGAATAAACTAAGGGGGGATGCTATGCTTGATCTGATTTCATTTGATACTAGAGACATGTCTGATGCGATTCTCGCCAAACATGAAGAAAAGAAGACATATATGTTACCTATAAAAATTACATATGATGTTCATACAGGATTTGTTGGTGTTTGGTGCTCAATTAGGTTTCCCAAAAGAGCAAAGTCTTCTTCACGATCTTTGCATGATGCCGCATAAATTGACAAATGAATAAATATTGGGTTTTCATGGGCAAAAACATTCTCTTCATTAACTTTTTGATGCGATTGGCCTATTTGTTCAACAATCTGATTCACTTGATGATTTCTCTAGATATGGATGATGTTGATGGCTTTTATTCTTGGCTTGCATTAGAGGCGCAACAGAGGCTAGAGCTCTCTTGCGATCTTTCTGCTTTTCTTGGACAATAGTGTTTAATAAGGTTCCAATATTTGTAGAAATTATTCAATAAGGATTTCTATGTTGTCAGGCGCCTGAGCTCTCTGCATTAAAGAGTGATGCTGACGGTGATATGGCTTCACTGTTGCAAATTCATATTATTTTATACCGGTATCGTCAAAGATATGGCTTCACTGTTGCAAATTCATATTATTTTAGACCGGTATCGTCAAAAGGGACATGAACTCACAATGCTTGTGCTATACCACACAGTCTATTATGTTATCTACATCAAATGAAAATCCCAACTTTATTGTTAGTAATTATGAGGGAGATCTCCTTTCTATTGCAAAATGTTTTCTTGATTTGTTTCCAGCTTTAGATAAGTCCTTTAGTAGACTTCTTGGAGAATGTCTATTTTTTTAGACTCTGCGCATTGAGATTGTTGGAGGATGTTTGTTACTCAAGTGTTTGTGATCACCTTAAGAAAGATGCTTTTGATGGTGATTGAGCCACTAAAAATCTTTGTGCTATATGGAGTCTAATTTTGAGTCGTCCATATAATCTCTTAGCTTGCTTGAAGATTGCTTTGAAGTTTGATGTTCGTGCTAAAGAGGAAGTTAGAACAAAAGCTATTCGACTGGTGGTAAATAAGCTCTATATTATCTTATATGCCTATTGAGAGCTTTGCTTGAAAATGCCGTTATCTGTTGTTGATCATCAAGTTCTAGGTGCAGAGTCTCAAATTGTCAGTTCTAGTGGGCAGAAAACTGAAAATTATGAAGTTGGGGCTTCTAAAAGTGAAACCACGAGGGACACCCTTGCTTATTCACTGAATGTTGTATCGATCTCCTTATCTCAAGCTCTGCAGAAAACATCTTTATTTTTTCTCTTTTTGTTCAAAGAAACCAAAAATCTTCAAACTTATTTTTGATATTTATAGAAGAGCTCCAAAGGCTGTCAATCAGACTATTCATCTGAATGTTCCCATGCTTTTGAGCTAAAGCATATAATTGCTAATCCCCTCGAAGGATCTTTTGGTGTGGCGAGTTATCACTGAAGAATCAACAATTGCTTCTAATCTAATTATTGTTGTTAAGTATTTGTATGAGACTAGAATGAAGGATGTTGCGATTTTGATCCCAATACTTTCTTCTCTTTCAAAAGATGAGATTTTACTATTAATTTCAAGGGTGGTTGATATTCCAATTGAGACATTCCAAGGCACATTAGCTTGCATTCTTGTGGGTTTAGCACATATCTCAATTTCCAAGGTACATTATCTTGCATTCTTCAAGGTTTAGCACATAAAGGTCCAACTTTAAACCCTTTTTGAAGTACTACATATCTTGACATAGATCCTTATAAGGATGGGCTTGCTCTAATGAAGATAATGGATGCTTGGATCACAGATCTTGACCTACTTGAGGATGAGAGCGACTCCATCACTCTCAATTTCTCCATGTTGGCTGCTCATTACGAATTAGATTTTGAGATTGCTCAATATGAGGGAACCTTGTCAACCTCAGAAGAATAATGTGGGAGCTAAAATTTATTTCACTTTAGATATCTCGATTTATGTGTTTTAGCTTATTATTTGTGCCTCTATGTTTTAGGATGAAATACTTATAATTATGCGAGTTTAGCTTTTAAAAATAGGGACTATTTTGTGTGGGATGGGAAGAGAATTTTGATTTTTTGTAATTACCTTTCCGGTATCTTTCCATGTTAAGAAGTGTATTTAATATCCTGGAGTGGCGCCAAGGTGGTGTTCAAACATCTTTCTTTCCAATTAATGCATTCTTTCTCTTCTTTTGGATTTTCGGTCTAGTTTTACTTCTTCTTCCTGAATTTTCGGAACTGCAGCTTCAGTTTTGCTTTGCTACAGTATTGTTAGCTTCTACGCTTTCGAGTTAAATTTTTTTTTAAAAAAAATCCTTTCTCACCACTTTACTGATTTTATTCTATCCGGGCACCATAACAAAACTCCATTTACAGTTAGGATGAACATTTTTTTCATCTTATCATTATTCTCCAATTGTTCATGAGTGGCAGTTTGCTTTGTTGTTGCATGTCTCTATTCCCTAGAGCTTTTTGCTCGTTTTAAGAGATAGAGAATAAGGGTGTTACATTTTGCTTCGTAAAGGAGTTCGTTCAGCTTAGATTTGTGGCACTATTTTCTTAATTAGTTACACAAGTAGCTAAAGTTGAAGGTTTTGACATTTTTTAACCTGGGTTTAAGGACAACTAACTTTCTAAGGTATTGAATTATATTATTATTTGATTTTTAATTAAAATTCCCCCAGAAAAGGTAATAAAAAATGAAAGGAAAGAAATAATCCAATTCATGTGCGACTAAAACATTATGTGCGCTATTCTCTATTTTATGGCATCCTTGATTTTGAAGAGAATTAGTTGAATAATTTGGGAGCTATTAATTTTGCATATTTCTGTTTATATAGATATATATATTCTATTAACTTATATTATTCTTACTTATCTGGAATATTAATGCAATGGATGATGAGTGTCATGGATTAGGATTTCCTCATCTTAATTTTCAATGATTTTATCCCACGAGAGAGAAGAAAAATTATGTAAATTGTTTAGAAAAGAAAAAAATATAGCGATGATTCGCTTCATTGTGGATGAATTATGTCAAGCAAAAGTTCTCTCTCTCTTTAGGTATTGAGTGAATACAATTAAGCATCATGTGAACTATTGGCAATTAGCCTCAGACTTCTTTCAATCTTTCACTATTTAAGGAGGGATAAACAATCAAACCTTTATTGAACGTCTTCCAAGATTCTACCTAATTCATTCCAATCATATTTACACAAGTTTTAGTTACTTTTTATGTTACCATTTTATAAATTTCTTTAACTAATAAATACTTATATATTACCATCAAAATAAAGTTTTAATCTTTGTTTTCTCATAGCTTACGTATCGGTATTGTTTCATTTTTTAGAGATACGTGTGACTCCTCTTCTTTTCATATGTATATATTGTAGTCCATTGATATCTACTTTTTTTTCATTGACACTATTCATGAATTATTATTCCATGCATTAGGTTTCCACGTTTGGATTAAGTACACTGTATCTTTGATGTTAGCAGTTTATTTACTCTCAGTTTTAAATGTCATGCACTTACTTGATTCATTTTGAAATTAACTTTGATTAGTGAAATACTTTAAATTCTTCAGTAGATGCAGAACTTTTTTTTTTTTTAATAATAAACTGATGCTCCAATTATAATTATTAATTTCAGGCTTGTGTTCTGCCCCCTCCTAAGAAAAGGTTTTGTAGTAATTATGCACGATCTGTGAACCAGATCTTGCAAGGTATGACCAATATGCAGGTAATCCCTGCATCTTAAACCCCATGAGATTTACAAGCTTATTGTTTTTAGGAATATTTGCCTATATACCATTCAATTCCTGTGTATTTACATTTCTAACACCCAAACTTCAATTTTTACATGCACAACACCTTACCTATGCATGAAAATGTGTATTTCACTTTGTAAAAGTTAAAATGGTGGTATTTTTTATGTGATATGAAAGATTTGGGTGGTATAAATGTAAAAAGCAAAATTTAGGTGTTAGATATGTAAATACATATGAATTGGCTGGTGTTTATGTAAATGCCCCTTTCTTTATTGAAGAATTAAATTGTCTCTTTTGCTCATGTATCTTTCTCATAAAGCTGTGGCTTAGGCTGCCACTAGTGAAGGCCGAATTTACAGAGAATGAACCGGCTGATGCAAGTAATGATTGCTTGGTAAGTGCAGCTGCATGACAGTTTTGTAAATTTTACAATTTTTATGTGCTTGATTTTTATTCATAGATTTCTGCACCATTAATTTATGAAGTCCAATAGAAAAGAGTTTTGCTACCTTTCTTCTAAAAGTGAAGTAATTAGATATACACATTGCTCTTTTATGCATCAAACTTCTTTTTTGGTTGTCCATGCCAATTCTATGTTTATTTATGTGCTTATGAGGCCCATCACATGGTACCATATTAAATGTCCTTTATTATTTTCTGCAGAGTGGAATATTGAATGATTCATGGGAAACGTGGAACTCATTTAGATTGCTATGCGAACATCACGTTCAATTGTGTGTAGCTCTTGATATTCAGTAAGTGAGAATGTTGTAAGGATCTCCTATTATTTTGTAATTTATTCTTATGAGAAAAAAAATTCATTTTTGTAATGATTTTGGGCTGGTGCTATGATGGTGTTCTGCAATTTGAGCTTTTGTATATAACATTGCAGGAGTTCACTTCCATCAATCAACTCTCTTCTGCGCTGGTTTGGAGAGCCTGTTAGAGCAGCAATCGTTCATACAGATGTAAATAATTATAAAATTGCAGAAGCTTGCTAACTTTTTTGAGTTATTTCGTTGTGTTTCATGTTTCTTACAGATTTGTTTTTGTGGTAGGCATTTCTAACTAATGCAAGGGGGTATCCTTGCTTATCGAAGCGACATCAGAAGCTAATCACAGCATTCTTTGACCTTGGTTTTCAGGTGATTATATTTGGGACATTTACACGCGTACCACACAATTCTTATTTATTTACACATCTAACACCTAAACATTCATATTTACGTGCATACCGTTCAAATCTTTAATATCATATTAAAAATACCACAATCACTATCTTTTTAAACGTAAATTACACCTTTTCATGCATAGTTTATGAGATCAATCTGTTATAAGTGTAAATATCAAATGTTGTTCATGCATAGTTTATGAGATCAATCTGTTATAAGTATAAATATCAAATGTTGGTTGTCAGATATGTAAATACATAAGAATTGTGGGATATATATGTAAACTTCCCTTATATTTTCTTGTTTTTCATTAGCAATGATCATTTCACTTGGCCTTTTATGGATGGATGCATGATTGAAGTATCATGGAATTTTTATTTTTATTGTATTTTTGTAAATTTTCAGATTGTAATCTCTGGTAGTTTGGTGCATAATATTCCACAAGAAAGGGTGGATGTTGTTCCTGCCAATGATAATGACGGCCCTAACGAAGGTATGATTTCAGTTTTGGATTTTTGCTTGAATGTATTAAGTTTTTTACTGTCATTATTCTTTCATATTTAGGTGCACCTGTTAGGCACGAGCTGAAGCCTTACCTGGAGTATGTTGCTTACCTATACCAAAGAATGGATCCCCTTTCTGAGCAAGAGCGTTTTGAGGTAGCTTGTTATAATGATTTGATGCTTTGATTTTCATCATTTATTTGCGAATTTTTATGCCATACAAAAACTATTTTCTTTCAGCTCAATTACAGAGATTTCCTGCAGGCCCCATTACAGGTTTTTCTTCTTTCTATGCATTCCTTTAAATTTTTTTAAAAAAAGGATGTTTCTTATTCTTAGAATTTTTTTTTTGCACTTTGAGGACAGTTATTTATTGACGAAGGTTCAAATCTATTGCTTTTATCTACTTTTTGTAGCCTCTCATGGATAATCTAGAGGCTCAAACCTATGAGACATTTGAGAAAGATACAGTAAAATACAGCCAGGTTTGTACCAATTTCTATTCTCAAATGATAAATTGCTTCACCTTTTTTCTTATTATTCGAAGTTGCATAAAACGAGGTTCCAATCAATTAAGTTTGACAAATTTCATAGATATTGGTTTTAGGCTCTGTAAATGTAAAATCTATATTTATAATTGGATTAGTTTGCTTGTTCCGACTTGAAAATATCAGTTAAGAATAGATAACTACATTTATTAATTACTTTTTGCTTACAACATAGTTTTTTTGTTGTAATATGTTCATTTGGGCAGTACCAACGTGCAATTTGTGAAGCTTTACTTGACCGAGTCTCTGATGAGCAAACTTCATCGTCAAATACGGTTAGAAAATTTCAAATGTATTTTCTACCTCTTGGATAATCATAGTTGCAAATCTGTTTATTTGCACATGAGTTATATACAGGCTCTGGTGTTCTATTTTGCTAGAATTGTTTTACATGTTTCTGCTACCTTTATTAATCTCTTTTGCTGAAACATTTTAATATTTTTTACCCCTAAGGTGCTAATGGTTGTAGGAGCAGGACGAGGGCCGCTGGTGCGTGCTTCTTTGCAGGTTCGTTCTTCATTGAGTTGACTATTACAAAACTGTAGCAGTTTGACTATTACAAAACTGTAGCAATTAATGCAATGGCCTTCACAGTGAACAATTGCTTATCGACCTAGGATCTATTCTGGGCTCATTTAGTAATTTTATGCAACTTTTTTGTTATATATGAAATTAAATTATCTAACTTCCACGTGGATGAAAGGATGCCCCTTAAGTGTGTTTCCTGCACTCATAAGGTAGCAGAGAGTGTTTGCGTATGACCTCAATTTTTTTCACAGAATATTTTTACACAAAACAAAACTATTTTCTTTTCATTTGAGGCTTTTTGTCTCATCTTGAGCTCAAGATTTTCTTATTGATATAATTTTAAAAAATAAAGATTATTTGTAACATTTTATTTTGTTTTTTGTTTGTTTTGATCCTAATTTTTTTGCATCGTGTTGTGGGAGATGTCATTTTGGTCATAATGATGCACCTTACTCAAGCCATTACTATCTCACCCCACTTCATACAATAGATTGACTATTCTGCATTCTAGCCTTCACAGATTCTTTTGATTAACTATGTTAGCCATTTAAAGTACATGGTTTGACAGTCATCTTATATATAGAAGTGTGAGATACTTGAAGCATATAAATTTTCAGGCAAATGTGTTAAAATTGTTCATTGACTTATTACAAAGGCTCATTTTAGTTCCAGAGTATATTGAAGTGTCAATTTATTCCCCTTTTAATAGAGACTTAGGTAGTTCCCGGAGAAGACTATTTCAGCTCCCATTAAAAGAGTCTGTGGACTAGTTTGATACTTTTATAAACTTTGGGATTGAAATAACGTTATATATATAGTCATGGGACTATTTTAACACTTTATTCAACTATTTATTTGGATTGTTATTGATCTTATACGACTTCTAAATTCCTGACACGATAATATGTGGCTTCCCCATCTAAGCAAACCAGTTTTGATTTGCTAATCGTGTGATGGTCCCTCGCTTCTGTTTGTGTGGCTGATAATGCAGGCAGCCAAAGAAGTTGACCGGAAAATAAAGGTTTATGCCGTGGAAAAGAATCCAAATGCTGTGGTGACACTTCATGTGAGTGAGCTGTAATTCATGATTGCAAGTAAATGAAAGCAGTGTTATTAGTTGTAATGAACTATACTGAACTATTCTGAAATGTTCTTCGTGACTTTGCATTCAACTGGATTTTGTAAAGCTTTGATATTTGCGGACCAACAAATCACTGTTCAATTCTTGTTCAAAGGCTGGTTATTGCTGAACTATTTTTGCATTTACATGCATACCACACAATTCTTATGTATTTACATGTCTAACACCTAAACAGTCATATTTACGTGCATGTGTTTTGAGTGTAAATACCGACTTTGGGTGTTGGATATGTAAATGCATAAGAATTTTCTGGTATGCATGTAAATTTCCCTTTTTAGCATGCTCAGACTGTCAGAAGCTTTGGTTTTTCATGTCAAAGGATATGTAGAAGTTAATCTTAGGGAGCTTTAGTAGCAATGATCAGCAAAGAGTAGTTGATCTTTCTCCATTAAGGGAGTTCTTTTTTCATGTTGGACATAACATTAAATGTGCTTTTATATGGATGGCAGAGTCTAATCAAACTAGAGGGTTGGGAGAGCTTAGTTACTGTAATTTCTTGTGATATGCGCTTTTGGGATGCCCCCGAAAAGGCGGATATATTGGTAAATGATTTTCTATTCATGTTGATATTTAGGCATAATTTTGCAAGGCATGAGTACTTTTTACTCAATGTTGTTGTTGCTGGTTTACTATTTCAAGGTGAGTGAGTTGCTGGGCTCTTTCGGCGATAATGAACTTTCTCCCGAGTGTTTAGATGGGGCGCAAAGATTTTTGAAACCTGATGGCATTTCTATTCCTTCTGCGTATGTGTCACATATATCTACATTCATTTTGTTTTCTCCGAATACTAATTGATGATTTGGTTAATTCCATTTATTTATTTTATTATTTTGGAATTTATCACTCAGGTACACGAGTTATCTCCAACCGATAACGGCGACAAAGTTGTACAATGATGTAATTATTTTATTATCTTTTTTTGTCGAATTTGTGGTCATGGATGTACTGAAGCACTATTGGTTTTTTGGTAGGTGAAGTCAAATAAGGACTTAGCACACATGGAAACACCCTATGTTGTGAAATTGCATAAAGTGGCCAGGCTTGCTCTGGCACAACCTGTAAGTCTTCCTCATTTTACTTTTTAATTACAGTTTTAGCTTTTTAATGATTTGAGTTTTAATATCTTTTGTGCTCAAATGAGGAATCTTTACAATCACTTTCCTATCATGAAGCTCACATTTCTTGAATTTTTGGCTTCTTTTTCTCTTCTTTGTCATATGTCGAAGTTTCGAGTTTATATAATTGTTGGCTTAATCTTAATCAGGTCTTCACATTTCTTCACCCGGAATTCTCTCGCAAAAGAAACAACCAAAGATACGCTAAGCTGAGATTTGAGATACCTCCTGACACAGGGTCTACTTTGGTGCACGGTGGGATATGAAATCATATTTATTCATTTGTTTATTGATTGATTTATTTTACATTTTACTTCACTAACACAACCATAAATAGTAGATCCTTCCCCTCCCTCCTAGTCTAATCTTTTAGGCGCATTTTCTAGCTCCATTAAAACACAAGATAAGTTTAGCCTGAGTGAATCAATACCAAAGTTACAGAAGATCCATATTATATCATTCATTATTTGATGGAGATCATCATTATGGAGTAAAGTGCCAAAATAGACCCTTGACTATTTACACGAGGCCTACATGAGGCCATTTTCTTCCCACAATATATAAAAGTGTTAGATTAGTCCCATGAAGGACTATATTAGCCCCCTTTAGAAGAGTCTAAACAATAAATTGACATTTTTATAAACTTTGGGACTAAAGTGACCCCAAACAAGAAGTCAGGGGTCTATTTTGACACTTTTCTCTATCATTATATGCTGCATAAAGTTATTCCGCTATCTCACCTGATTTACCAGTGAAAAGAGAATGAATCTTTAAAGCAGTATGAAGTGATGAATACAAATTCCATAATTGTTTGTTTGTAGGATTTGCTGGCTACTTCGATGCAGTTTTATATGGGGATATTCATCTTAGCATAGAACCATCAAAGCCAACACCTGCCATGTTCAGCTGGTAATGTTCTTATATCTAGTTGTCCCTTCCTTACCATTTTCTGCTACTCTAACATTCCTTCTTTCCTTTGTGTAGGTTTCCCATATTCTTTCCTTTAGTGACTCCAGTTAATGTACCTTCTGGTTCTCATCTTGAAGTCCGGTTTTGGCGCTGTTGTGCACCTACTAAGGTTTTTATCTTGTTTGTCTTCTCATAAAGTATCAAAGTAGTCCCTGACTATTTACATGGGGCCATTTAAGTCCCATAATCTATAAAAAATGTCAAATTAGTCTCCAGACTATTTTAATATGGGTTGAAATAGTCATCAAGGAGGATTACATTATCTCCTTCAAAAGTGTTTGCGGACTAAATTGTCACTTTTATAGCTTGAGATTAAAATAATCCCCGATAAAGATTCAAGGACCATAATGACATCCTCTCTCTCTCTCTATATATATATATGGGCTTTTGATCTCTTTGTATTATTTTATGATCACTGCTCAAGTTTTGAATTTTAAATATTTTTGCAGGTCTGGTATGAATGGTGTGTGACATCACCTACCTCCACACCTTTGCACAATGTTAATGGCCGGTCTTATTGGGTGGGTCTGTAGTCCTATCATCAAAAAATAAACTAAAAACCAGATTTTTTTTTTTTTTTTTGTCTCAAATACACAAGTGAAAAGAACATTTTGCCAGTTTTGCTGCAAAGATGTGTAAGAGATGCTGGTTCTGTAAGAGTTTTATTGGTTAAGGCTTCATGGAGTGCATCTGGCTGCATCTGTGTTGCTGTGATGTAATTTGCTGTTCCAGCAGCCTCTCTGAATCTTTTTCCTGTTGTTGTATTTCTTTGTCAAGTATTATATCTAAATTTTGAATGAGGTTAGATGGCATAAGATTTAGAGCCAACCTGGGCTCAAGTTTTGCTCTCAGCTATTTGATTTCATCTTGAGTTGACTTCGAATTTTGGTTATAGTTTGATTTGATTTGATTTTAATTTGAGCCTGTTATGCAATGTTACCTATGATCTAAAAAATGTGATATGGCTTCAGTGTAATTTGTAGTCTCTTATGACTTCGAATTTTGGTTATAGTTTGATTTGATTTGGTTTTAATTTGAGCCTGTCATGCAATGTTAACTATGATCTAAAAAATGTGATATGGCTTCAGTTTAATTTGTAGTCTCTTGAGCTGAAGTTTTAGTCTAATATGTGGACACGTAGGCATCTATAATTATGTTTATATATGTATTCATCATATAATCTTTTTTATTTGATTTTGATCAAGCTCTCTGATTCAAGCTTTTCTCAAATTTGTTAAAATAATTTTATCGGCTATATTTTCTTTCAATAAAATTTTTTTTAATTATATATATATATATATATTCCTATTATCAAAATTCCACATAAAATAAACTAATTTATACCGCGGTATTTAAATCATATTTGACTTTGCCAAGCAGCCTTTACTCGACTAATGCCGCGAAACCCTAAAACCCGAAGGTCGCTTGCCGTGCCGACGAATTCGCCGGAGCCATACCCAGACCTTCCCTTCCCCACTGCGGAACAATGCCGGTCAGTGCGGGACGACCTCCTTGCTTTCCACGGCTTTCCGAAAGAGTTCGAACGCTACCGTCGAAGGGTTCCAACCGCCGATGAACCCGCGCTCTTCTCCGATGAAAGCGTTCTCGACGGCCTCGTGAGCATTCTTCTCTCACAGAACACCACCGACGCCAACTCTCGGCGGGCCTTCGCTTCCCTTAAGTCCGCTTTCCCCACTTGGGAAGAGGTATAGTTCTGCTCGGCCACAAAACCCTAATGAGAATTTCATTCTTGTTTAATTTTAATCCCGTGAAGGTTCTTAATGCGGAGACGAGGAGCGTGGAGAATGCGATTCGGTGCGGAGGGTTGGCAGCCATTAAAGCGGCTCGTATTAAGAGCATTATGAGGGGCGTGAAGGAGAGAAGAGGAGAGATTTGTCTGGAGTATTTGAGGGGATGGTCGGTTGCAGATGTGAAGGCTGAGCTTTCAGTGTTCAAGGGGATTGGCCCAAAGACGGTAGCGTTTTCCTTTTATTTTACTGTGATTTCTGGCTTTTAGGTGTTTCTTGGCAACAAGTAGGAATTGGAAATCATAGATATCAAGAATTAGTAAAATTGAGAGGATTTAAGATTTTTGA